AAGGGTTTCACAATCAAGAAATGAGGGATGAACCTGCTCAATCCGGAGTAGGGCATGTTTCTACAGAAGCAATAATTGTAAAGATAATGAAGCAGAGATAAAGAAGAAGTGATGGAATCCATCGTACATATAAAATATATCAGGCGTCCAGGAGAAATAGGGGGAAAAGAAAGCCAGAAAAAATAGCAAAATATAAATCAGTCTATTCTCAATAAATTCAGTTTTAAGCCCAACTAATCGATCAAGTCTAAAGCATCAAAATACCCAAAAAAAGTAGAGCATTAAGACAGGGGAATCATTATGCATATGTCACGTAAGACGCAAAAACCAAACACACACCTCGAAGAGGTGGCCAAGTAAAGGAGTAAAATCCAAGGGAGAGAGAACCGGGAGAGCAAGTGTCTACCACACACTCAGTCCAATAACCAAAAACTAGTCAACACCAAAAAAAAGAGTTTGAAGGATAGGGAAACGAAATTACGCTACCCATTCATAGAGGGCCGATTATTTCCCAAGTCCGCCTCTTCCATCTGAACATTATTATGATGCTTCTTCCCTTCTTTCCCCAGACCATATCGACGTCCACCACCGTAGCCACGGCCACTTCCAGAATTCCCGGAATGCCCACCAGCCGCTTCCCCTTCCACCACCGTTGCCCTCCGATCCAGCAACTCCTGCACCTGCATCTCCCTCTCCGCATCAATCTCCGCCTCCCTCAAGACCTCCAAGCTCGATTTCTTCGTCCCCCGATCCCACCCCTGCTGCAACTCCAACGCCGCCGCCTCCTCAAACCGCTTCCGAATATCCAAATCCTGTTCATACTCCTGGAAATAGTCTACATCGGTCGGGAAAAGGGTGACACGCAATGTCGTCACGGATATTTCGAAGAGAATCACGGTCATCACGATGAGGAAAAGGGTCACCCACCAGAGCAGGTTGCGGCCGGTGCGTGACAGGAAGTTGTCGCGGACGTTGTAGATTGCGTTGATCTTGTAACGGGCTGAGAGTATTAAGTTCCAGACGAACCAACTGTTGACGGAAAGGATGACGGATATAGCTGCCATGACTGTGCGGTAGCGAATTTCGAGCAGTTGTAGTTTGAGATTGATGATTATTACGCAGGCGGTGTAGGTGAGCAAGCCCATGGCGAAGACACCGTTGTCTAGGGTAAACAACGCGCGGCCGAAGAGGCTGTACATGATGAAGTAGACGATCATGGCTTCACAGCTGCCCATGAAGGCCCAGCCCACGTAAAGTTTGACGTTGAAGCCACCGTTGCGTTGGCCTTTGGTGTACAGTTCCGGGACAGCAAGGAGGGTAGAGGCTGAGAGGTCCTTTTCGAAAATTCCGAGGAAGATGACGGGGAGGGAGGTGAAGAAGGTGTTGAACATGCTTAAAGACCAGGGTTCGTAGAGACTGGTCCCCGTGTAGCCATTCCAACGCTGGTAGAGGGCTTGGGTCAGGTAGAAGATGGTTTCTTTCCAGAATGTGCCTAGGGTATATTTGCATACACGGATGTAGTTCCAGCGGCCATGGACGAGGAGGAGTTTGACCAGGAATCTAAACTGCGCAATTGAGTAGTCGGATATCCTAGCAGCTTGCAAACCTTCCTTGCCGGTGATGCCAATCCCCACGTGCGCTTCCTGGATCATGGCGATATCATTGGCACCATCGCCAATCGCAAGTGTGATTGATTTCTTGACCCGCTTCCGAATCGATTGGACAAGGAACGCCTTCTGCTTGGGACTAGCACGACAACAGATGACAGAGTCCGCTAGAATTGCTAGATCAAAAAAGCGCTCCTGAAGTATCGCATCTGCCTCGATAATCGACAGCGTCTGCCCATCCACCACAACCACGGAATGGGCAGAACCCCCCTTCAAAATCTCACTCGTCGTTTCCAAGATCGTCCGCTCAACATCACAAGCATCATGATCCAATATCGTCACTGTAGAATAGTCCTTCACCAACCGACAAGAATGACCGATATTTATCGCCGTCTCTCGCTTATCCCCAGTAAGCATCCAAAGTTTAATATTGGCACGTCGCAGTTTATCAATCGCCTCAGGGACGCCCTTTTGAAGCTTATCTTCAATAGCGGTGGCACCAATCAGCTCCAGCTGTGCCTCAATCTGCTCCCCAGCCCTTTCGATCTTCTCCTGCCTATCCACCAAGCTCGTTGTCGCCTCGCGGTAGACAGCTTTCCACTTCTGATAATCTTCCTCGTCAATAAAGCGATACCCATACAATAGTGTTCGCAATCCCTCCGTCGCAAAGTCATTCAAATGCTGGAAACATCTCTCGAAAACCATCGCCTCATTCACCACCATCGCCTCCTCGACCAACCCCTCGCTATCATCCACCTGAAACGACGGGCGAGACTCCGAAAGCACTCCAGATGTTCGCGGGGTAAATTGCGCAGATGGTCGTGGACTATAATAGTGGTCGTCCTTATCATCTCTCAGCTCCAAACCGCCATCCGTCTCCCGATCACGGAGCCAAACACTGATACTGTCCCGTAATGACGGATGCACTTTCCCCGAAACACTAGACCGACGAACAGTTGCAAAGCTAGGACGGCCAATACTCATGCTAGCCCGCATGCTGTCCTTGCGATGCACGTGTTCGCTATTCCGTCTCATAACCTCTTTAGCCTCAAGAGACTTCCTACGGTTGGCACGCGTTTCGATTTCCGCAACTTTTTCCGCCGCAAGACGCGACCGTCTTAGAAGGCTTATAAGCGCCGAATCTGCACCCTTGCAGAAGATGCAAATACGCCGATCTGGCATACGGACGACAATGGACATCCTTTTCCGCGCACTGGAAAACTCAATGACATCTAAAATCTCATAGACTTCTTCAATAGCATCTTCTCCGTCTTGTCCTGCTGGGGTGAGTCGGATGGTTAGCGTGTTGGGCTGTCTATCCACGACTAAATAGCCCATTTCCTCCGCGGCAACGATCAAAGCAGCTTCATCTGGGGATGCAGCCTGGAACGAAATATTGCCGTCGCTGTCACGTTCTGGAAAGCACGTGTGGCACAGGGCGAGGGCCAGGATGAAGAATTTCACCTTGCGCGCGAACATCGTATGTGGTCTCTGCTGTATATATTCTAGCATCTCCACAGTCCGCCCTCCATAGTGGGCTCTGCCTCTCCTGTTTGACCTCCAGCGGGTGGGGGTGGGGGATGAGGCTTCATTGCATCTGTACGTTGAAACGCCGGATTTCCTGGCTACGGCTTGGTGATCATCTGTGGCTGATTTCCACGAGGCGGCCCTTTTCCCTCTGGAGAGGCGCTTTTTATGTAGAAGCATCTTGCGATCTGCCTCTCGGGCAGCTTCCTCTTGTAAATCTGTATCATGAAGCCATGCAGTGCCTGCAACGCTCATTTTTACGGAACTTCATGGAGTTATCGGTCAACGTGCCTGTTTTGTCGGAAAATATGTAACTGTTGTTAATTTAGCATGGTGTTAGTAATCTTTACCAAATTGTGTTTCCACGAAAATACCCAGAGTGGTTTTTTCTTAAAAAAAAAAATAAAATAAAATAAAATAAAATAAACAAATAAACAAATAAAAATGTAGAAAAGGTCAAGACATACCTAACCTGCCCCAACTCCTCATTAATCGTCGAAGTCCTCGCCTCCAACGGCGTATCCGACGCCTCATCATACATATCAATATCGTTCAAAAAAAATATCTGCGCAACCTTCACAATCTCCAAACTGACATAAAGCGATATAGGTATCATGGTATTAAACATAATCAGAAACGACGTGAAAATCGGCCCATACGACACATCCGCATGCTCCAGATACCACGACTTATCCTCCACATCTCGCGACCAGAACTTATACGCAATCGTACACGCGGAGGCAAGGACGACGACGAACAGAACAATAACCGCGACAACGCGGTTCACCACCGTCTGTAGTGCGGGCGCCTTTATGCGCGGGTTTTTATTGGCGTTCATGCGTATCTTGCACTCTTCACCCGTGTATATGACCATCCCGAATGCTTCGTGGGTATTCCGCAGGATGCTACCGCGGTATATCACCTCTGAATTGGTCAGGGGTAATTTCTCCTGGCCCACAGTGACGTTGCCGTCGAATTTATAGAGGTCTATGTTGGGATCTTCGACGGTGAAGTGAATGGATGTATTGTGGAGGACATCTTCTGCTGTCCTGCATGTCTCTGCGACGGGAGGGCAGGGTTGCTTGCTCTTCAGGTTTGTCTCGCCGTCCAGCGCCATGGTCTCGATGTATGCGATGTTGTTCACATTTTCGGCATGGAGAAGGACGAGATCGGCAGGAGCTGGTTGATCGCGCGATAGCTTGATTACATCGCCCACCTGAATGTCCACCCATTTCGTCGGAGCCCAGTATTCCCCACCATTACTGTTTAACTCAGACTCGGTGTCCTTAGAATTCTTGGGTTCCAAGGAATCGTTATTACCCTTATTGTTGTTGCGGGGCCGAAGAATGTAGGCGATACGATTATTCTCCTCCTTGTCTAATCGGTATCGACGTAGATCATCAATCCCTTCCTTCCCCATAGAAATACCAACGAAAACCATCAGCGGAACGAAGGTGGTGAAAGTGCCTGTGGTACTCAGACCTGGTATCAATTGTAAAATTGAAACGACTAGGAAATAGAAATTCGCAAATTTTGAAAATTGTGCTACCAATTGTCGCGGGAAGAAGCTCCACGCGCTGTATCGGCTAGACCGTATGTGATTGCTGACATACTGTCTTCCCGTCCGTTCGTCAATGAGAGGGTATTGCCGCCGTACGTTAAGATCGATATGTCGGCCATCCTTGCTAGGAGGGATTTCTTTGATGCGCAGGACATATCTGCGAAAAACATCTGTAAAATTCTTCAGTCGGCCCAGCGCGAATTCATGCGTGGAACGCACTTTAGATGCGGCAGCCCTGACAGAGTATGGTAGCTTTTCCCTTAATAGGTCCTTCGGGTCGGTGAATGTGGTGGATTCTTCATCCTTAGTGCTAGCTGTGGCTGGGACAAGGACTTCTGGATTGGTCTTCTCCGGATGTAGGTGCTGTTGTTGCTTAGAAGAGACCCGTGACAGAGCCTCATTTCCAGATGGCAGCTCCCGGTCTAATTCAATATTCGTCCCATCCTCCTCTGATTGGCTGGCAATGTTCCGAGTAAAGAGAGATCGTCGCAGCGAGTAACCCCGACTTCGAGAGATGGGAGAGATGGGAGGAACACCATGTAAGGAAGAGACAGCGTCTGTAGATGAGCGTGGCGATATCATCTCACCAGCGCTTTGCGGGGAGAAGCGTCGTGGATCTGATAGTGAAGTCGGGGAGGATGTGTCCAATGTCAGTCCCAAGCCAGGGGCACGCCTATTACCGTCCTCTCCGGCTCCAGCAGGAAATTCTCGTACCAGGCTCTGAGCACTAGTGTCCGGAGTACGCTCTAGATCTGTTGAAAAGCGGACACGAGCCTGTGACGGTCTCCGCTGGGGCATATCCAGGTTCAGCAGCGCAGGTCTAGGAGTATCCAGTGAAGCATGCACACGCCCTGGAGCATTGGGATGTCTCCCACGCCCCCCGCCATCCCCGCCATCCGCTGGTCTTCCAGGATCGGCTTCATTCCGCGCTCCAAAATCTTGAAGCAGAACGCTCTCATCACCTTCTCTCTCTCCAGTGTCTGTTCCGAGAATGCTGTCTCTCAGTGGCAACCTCGAGGAGGCACGGCGTGGTAATCGAGGACTCAACCCTCCAGTTCCCGAGTTTCCATCATGCTCCGCCATCAGGTTGCCCTGGTATCCAAAATTAGATCTTCCCTCCTCCTTTGTTTGGTATCCAGCCGTTAACCGCCAGTAGTATTATATAAGTATGGGGATATGGATTCCTTCCTTTGTAGTTGGGTCACACTTCTATCGCCTCCCGAAGTCTGATATACTGGAACTGTTTTCCAGACGTATAGATAGAATTGGACGGAAATAGAGGATAGAAATAGAGGATATTTCGCATGTAGGTAGGACAAGGGTTTGTTAAGCGGAATTAATCGCATTGTCAGAGGTGGCACATTGTAAAATGGGTGGGAAAATGTTTACGCATCGACATCTGAGGAGCAAAATCAAGAAACGGGGAGGAAAGAAATGACAAATATCCGACTGGTTAGCCCTCTCCGGGAGTACGTATATTAATTATACAGAACGGAAAGGAGGCAGGAGGGAGGTAAATTCAAGGTACGACCAACGAATCGACACGAGTTGGCATGGAGGGGGGGGAACAAGGCGAGAGACGTTCTTGAAGCACTGTAATGCAGGGGAGAGACGACTAATTAACAGGATGTACGCGTGGCCCGGGACTCTCATTTACACAACGACCATGGGAGACAGTATTCCTTATTATTTCTCCTTGGGTGTAGGGTCAGAAACAGTTGACAGAAGGGCACGAGGGATTGTTGGGGATTCAAGGGAATAATTCGGGTGTATGGTTGGTTCCCGGGACAGGCGATAAATAAAGTTACCTTTGATGAAAACAAAAAAAAAAAAAAAAAAAAAAAAAAAAAAAAAAAAAAAAAACCAAAGATCAGTTAGACGCTGCTCGGTTGAGCTTAAATGAAATCAAGTGTTTTGTTGGTGATTGTCAGTTTAATTACCTTGATAACAGGGTTTGGACCTTGCTGGGAATCTGAGTCTAAGCCAATGCACAGCCGACCGCGGACGGTGGCTCCACGGAGAAACCGCAGGAAAGCGTGGACCCACGAGCGTCGAGATTGTAGAGATTGGGTACGGTCTGGTAGGGGAGAGAGAGAGAGAGAGAGAGAGAGAGAGAGAGAGAGAGAGAGGTGAGGGGAGGAATATAGATGGAAGAACTAAAGAACCATAAGATATTGAAAGTAACTTTCATCGTCTTTGGGGGGAGGGGAGTAGTTGGTTGGGGTTAAGGGCCTGGAGTCGCCCTGAAAATGGTTTAAGTAGTAATACTATTATATATTTCGCAAGGCAGCAGCAGTGCCGATTTGACGCATAGCTAGTTAACCTAACTGGCCAGTTAAGCTTCCCAAGGTTCGCCGACCAAGAAGGTAACTATATTTATTTTTTAACAAACGTTACCCCAGATCCAAAGAACAGATTTAAACCAGAGCTTGTTTACTTACTCATTAATGAGCGCATGCAATTGAAACTCACCGGACAAAAGGAGGGGGGCATTGTTCAACTTCAGTTAACTCGGGATGCTTCTGAGAAAAAAAAAAGGATACTATCTAGGATCACTCATGAACCCCACTACGGCAGTAGAGGTGTCGGGGGGAGGGAAGGGATGAGATCGATCAATGGATCAATCGCTGAGACTGTGGGGAGCAGACACACACCTATCACCCTAGAGGCCTGTCGGCCGCTGATTGTTCCAGGGGTAAGTTAAGTAAAAACAACCACCATTTTCTCCCAATGATGCATGCATCCAGAGAGAGCCCGCGTGGTGAGCTCACTAGTTAACTAGTGAACTAAGAGAGTTAGTTAGTTAGCCTCCATACTGCTGATATAAGCCACTTCCGTCCCTTGCCCTGGCAGCCCCCCCTCTGCAGAGGCTAGGCTAGATGAGGGATAGCGCCTTGCACTCCCTTGGCTCATTCTCCTTGCAAGGTTTTGTCTCCCTCCTTTCTCTGAACACGTTCCGCTCAAGAGAAAGAGAAGGGAGCAATTGGCCTCTATACATACATGGACGAGGACGAAGACCAGGGGTGGGACATCTACGAAAAATTCAACCTTGCGGTCATGTATTGACAACTGGGAATGTCCCCATTGAGAGCTGGTTGCTTGCGTGGGATGTTCCATGTGGCGATTGACGTCATAGTCGACACACACCCGGGGAGAGAAAAATGTCTCACAGTTTAAGAGGGTCAGGAAATCAAAAGCAAAGAAAGGAATAATAACTGTATATCTTGACATCACAAAGAAAGGGCCAGGGGAAGAGGCAACGTCGATGGTGGAAGGATTTCTGAAGGGACATCTTCACAATACCCGCTTCCACACCAATCGTTAACCGTTATGACTTTCACACAGGGTCAAGATCAGATATATAACTAGCCGCTGAAGAGCTAACTACCTTTTGATACAGATCAACAGAAGAAGAAAAAATACATCCACATGTCCCTTTCCATTTTACTAACTAAAACGAAACTTTGAAAGAAAGGGGTGGGAAAAAAAAAAAGGGGGGGGGTAGGAGAAGGAAACAGTCATGACCACATTCAACATACCGAAATGGCATGCAGAAAAGGAAAGAAAACTACAAAATATCATTAAGCAATACATTGATATAAGGGCAAAAAGTGGCAGGGGTGGAGGGAAAGGAGTGCTGGAAAAAAAAAAAAAATATATAGAAATAAAAATAAAAAAACTTCCAGGGGCGGGGCCAAACTGGACATTCACGTTTCAAAATCCACCACCCCCGGTGGAAAAACTACCCTAATATCGTCCGGGAGCCCCATAGCCTCCCTGCGGGGGATATCCTCCCTGCCCACCCTGGGGCGGAGCCTGTCCATACCCGCCCTGTGGCTGCTGGCCGTACCCTCCCTGGGGCTGTTGCTGCTGACCATAGCCGCCCTGCGGCTGCTGACCGTACCCTCCCTGAGGGGGATAGCCGCCATACCCGCCCTGTTGAGGTGGTGGAGGGCCCCCCGGATAGCCACCGCTGCCGTACTGGACCTGTTGTGGCGGGGCGCCATACTGGCCTTGGGGTGGTGGGGTGCCGTATTGGCCTTGTAGTGGCCGAAGGCGGATGCCGGAGTTAGAGGGATGGTTTGACTTTTCGTCTTTGGAGTCGTAGGAGGAGTCGATGGCGCCGAGGATCATTTTGGTGAGCTGGTGGGTTTGATTTGGTTAGTTTCTTTCTTTCTCTTTTGCTTATATGTTTGTTTTTTATGATGTGGTTGGTGGTGGGTGGGTGGTGGTAGCTCGGAACTTACCCAGAGTTCTGGGGTTAGGTCGACGGGTGGGTTGGCGCGGGACATCTCATCCTGTTCGACTTCGAAGTCTGTTTTTGTTGCTGTTAGGAATACCGATCTCTTTGGCCCTGTTCAGTTTGTTGGAGTTAATATAATAGTATCGTTAACTTACTGGATGTGCAGTCAATCAGCCCACCAATACCGGGCTCTTCGTCAAGCTTGCTCAAGAACTCGCGGGCCTTCAAATCATTCCCGACCTGTGCAAATTGGAACGAGATTGCGCCAGCCCCATACTTGGGAAGCGATTGCAGTTCACTGCTCGCCTGCCTAATAGCATCAAATACAGCACCCTGCGGCTCTCCAGCAGGCTGTCCATCAGTAACGGTAATGACCAGGACTGGCTTCCTCAGTTGACCGCTTCGCGCTGGACGAAGCACTAACGGCTCCAGGACCTTATTCCTCAAGCTCGTTCCCATCGGGGTCAGACCCTTAAACTGAATGTTGTTGATGAGTTGTTCGATCTGCTGTTCGCCGCGGATGTTATCGCCCTGCACGTCAGAGTTCATGAAGCGGATCTGAATGCCATCGTCGTCGAAGAGGGTAGCGGCATAAGTGACACGGTTGAGAATCAATTTGAGATCCTTGATGCGATCACCATTCTCTTCAAATTGCATGGAGCCGCTGTCATCGATGTATAGGATGATGTCGAAAAGGGCCAGTTTGATAATGTCTTGTCCCACCTCCCGGGGAACGCGCCATGTAGCACAGAGCTGATCAATCTGGTTGGTGATTCGTGAAGCAATTTGATCGAGGGCCGGTGAATTTGGGGGGTACATTGCTTGAAGGTTCTTTTCCTGAACAGTACTCAAAAGGATTTGCTTATAGGCGGCGATCAACTGAGGCCCGGGGGGTTGTGGGGGGCCACCATATTGCGGAGCTCCCTGGGGTGGATAACCCGGAGCTCCCTGGGGATGGCCTTGGGGAGGATATTGGCCGGGCTGCTTTGTGACATCATGATCGTTTGTTAGTACAGTACGCTTTTATGTATGCATTGACTTTTAGAGCAAAAATAGTAAGCGAAGCCGGAAAAAGAAAAAAAGAAAAAAGAAAGAGCTAAATAAAATAAAATCAAGAAAAGAGAGACGTGAACAAGATAGGAAATCAACGAACGTAAGGGGGTTGATTCTGTGGATAGGGTTGGTGTTGTTGAGGGTGCTGCTGGTTGTGAAGGTACTGCTGGCTGTAAGGCTGCTGTCCATAAGGAGGTTGTTGCGGAAGCATTCCATATTGCTGCTGCTGAGGCAGCGGTGGTTGCTGTTGTTGTCCATATGCTCCTGGCGGTTGTTGGCCATAAGCAGGCTGTTGATAATTCTGCTGGTACGGAGGTCGAGAGGAAGCCTGGTAACCCGGGACTGGAGATGGAGTGGAAGGCATTCCTGGTCGTCCATATTGGTGGGGTTGAGGCGGTTGAGAAGACGCGGGGTACGGGGGTTGCGGCGAACTCGGGTATGACTGTCCAGGATACTGTTGGCTATTATGCTGTCGATGCATGACTGCGGCGCAGAGAACGGTGTAATCAAAACAAACGGTACGCCCCAGGAGAGAGTTTGGTTGGAAGAGACACCGGCAGGTAACAGCCAGATGGAAACAGGAAATGAAGAGACGGATAATGAAGCAAAGAGGCGAGGACGGTGATGTAGTTAAGAGAGAAGTGGTAAGGAGCAGATTGGGCAGGTTTTTTTTTTTTTTTTTTTTTTTTTTCTCAGGCCAAAACTAGTGTGCAACGGGGGTTGCTGGGCTGGCAGGGGGGCTGTGATTCGCTTACCGCTGGGGGTGGACCTTGTGTTTGCGCACCTGGATATGCCTGATATTGCTGGGTTTGGCCAGGCTGCCATGGCGATACTCAGTTAGAACAAGCATCCACAAAAAACAAGCGTTCATGTCTGTCAGAGGGCCCATTTCAGATCTCTCCCACTTCTGTCCTATCGACATTGCCTGCGATCCAATATCTGTATGCGTATTGGGGGTTACGAATGGGCGAACTCACATATGCGCCTTGCGTAGGACCTCCAGCTGGCCGAGGACCACCAGGATAGCCCGAAGGAGGGCCACCAGCGGCTGACTGTGCTGCAGCCATCTTTGAAGCGAGCTAATTATATCATGGTAATCCAGAGGGACGTGCTGTCAGCCATTTTGATGGCATAGATACACATCGAGAAAAACTTATATAAATTTTCCGACATCCGCGGGTCGCAAAAACCCTAAGACAATGGCGGGGTATCATTGGAAGGACTCAGGGACAGGAACTTACACCCATACTGAACTTTGAGAGTCAAAAAGTCAAAAAGACAAATGAGAGTGAGAGTGAGATGGTCACCGAGAGATATGCTAGAGAAGAAGATAGGCAGAGATGGGCAGCCAACAGCGGACGCAGAGAGTTTTTATATACACTCGGAAAAGAATCCTGTGGAGGGCGTTACAGTACGCCCGTACCCGTGGCTGTAATTATGACGTTCAGCGGGGCAAAGAAAAGCTGCAGTCTCTGGAAAAGACTGGGACACAACCCGTCTGTATGCCAGTTCCATCGGTGATCGGTGTATTGCTATGTACCAGTGCACGGTAGTGACCGCCGGCCGATTACTTGGATGCTGACATCCATGGATAGATGGGCGTACCTACGGTGTATAGCGGGGTGCTTTCATTGCTCGCGGATACTGCGAATGGTGAAGCTCCGGATATGAAGAATACACCATTCAGCCTGCATTAATCCAGGTTCGTTCTTGGGGTTGCAGGCACCCAGCAATGCCGAAGGACGTTGGTTTCCCTAGGACCATATATGGAGGAGTCCTCCATACCGACAAGCATAGGTAAGGTGTATTTCATCCGGAATTGGGAGGGGCACGTAATACAGCTTTTTAACTCATCTTACGCCCGGGCAGTTGCGGGAATAATTGCCAATACGGGTGCATAGCCACCTATCTAGATATCTGTCTCACAAGCCACATCAGATCATGCACCGCCCCCGCTGCATCCGTTGGAACTTGATTGCCGGAAAAAGGGACTGGGGATTCAATCATTTCAAGGTCCTTGTTATGACTATGTATTTCATTCAATGCACTTTCGTATTGTTTCCCATGAGATGATATAACAGAGAATCGCGGCCGTGATATTCCGCCATTTCATCGCAAATGCCAGTCAAGGGACGAACAGTCTACTTGGCGCAGTCTCATTCCCTCTTTCAGTTGTAGGGCAACCATGTAAAGATCAAACTCCTATATATATATATATGCCGTTTCATCTGGCTTATGCAACCCCTCAAGGGTGCTTCTCTTGGTATTTCGCTACACTTGACCCAGAGCAAAGACAAAGGGCGGATGCCAAGATATCAATATATATATATATATATATATTTATGGCAGACGGGTTCCGGTGTAACATTCTGGCTGCTCTGCATATTCTGCCAACTTGACTATATCCAGTTGATATCGGAGATCGTAGAGCACCTGAATGGGAAGGAGAGGAAAAATCGAAGAGCAATCTGTGTACGCAAACTTCAGCTGGGTGAGCATATCTAGAACTTGTTTCTGCCTGTTTTATAAATGCTATGTGTGGGTGAAAACGCTAGCAGACAAATAAACCAAGTCAATATAGTCAGTCTTGAAATAAATACCACCCATCTAACCCAACAACTAAATGAAGTGAAAGTCCCCAAGATCATCACGCATGTAGTACACGATATGAAGAAAGAAGCTCTATTCATATACCCAACTTTGGTCCTCGCACATAACTGTCCTCCCACATTCACTTCTTCCCCTTTGCCCTCCTCTTCTTCGAACCCCCTCCACTCCCTCCACCCTGAGTCTTTGGCTGTATAACAGGCGTCGAAGCAGCCGACTCCTCAATCTTCTCATTACCTACACTTCCCTGCATACGTTCCGCTGCCCTCTGCTTCCCCTTCTTCCCCTTAGGCCGATAACTCGAGCGATCGCGCAGTGGCAACCAGCGTTCCGGATCCGGTTTCTTGTTCGGATCGTAGTCCTTTGGTAATCGCGATTTGCGAACTCGTTTCTTCTTGGTTTCTTGCTTGCTGGAGTCGTCTGCTGCTGGTCTCTTGCGGCTGCTTTTCCCTGGAGCGGGGGTGGTGGCTGTAGTTAAGGTGATCGTTTTTGTTGTCGCGGTGTTGGTGATGGAAGGGATTCCGGCAGCTTCTAGGGAAGAAACGTCGATGCCGGAAATTAGATCTTGGATGGGGGAGAGTTTATCTACAATCGATTTCACTCTATCGGGTGATATCGTTGCGTATGATGCAATGCAACCCGCAATCGCAACACGGTCGTTAGGATCGGCATCATAGAGTTTGCTGAAAATTTCACCGGCGAAGGCAAGGTCTGAAGGGTTGCCAGAGGCCAGGTGCGATGAAGCGGCGGCGCGGAGGAGAGGGGGAGATCCGTCCGGACGCGATAGCCAATGCGATGCAGCTTTCGCGAGCTCTGCCCTTATGTGGCTTCTGCGGCCTTGGAGTTTATAGAGGGAAATCAGTATGCTGAGAAGCCCCGGGTTGAACCGGATATCTTTGTCAGACTCTGATATTGACTTGTCGAGTCGTTGCAGGAATGCTTCTAGGGTAGAGATGGCAGAGCTGACGTTTCCGGCTGCAAAATATAGTTGGATGATTGTGAGGATGAGGCCAATATCTTTTGGTCTCTTTTCTAGCAGGGGAAGCACTTCCTTGAGACAGGCTTTGCCTGTTCCATCCAACACGTGAGCGGCAATGTTGAAAACAGAGAGGGTGTTGATGTCAGGTGATAGGGTGGGAGATGGATGCTGGGAGAGAGCCTTTTCGGTTGATCTTGCTATGCCATCGAATTTGCGGACCAGAAGGTCTACCACGTACGAGTTTCCGGTAAGTGCTCTAGTTTGGAAGGAAAATAATTTGTCGCCATCAGTTGAGGTAGGGATCTCGTGGAAATTTTTGTGGAGGAAATATGGATTTGATTCTGTTCCGGAAGCAAGAAGAATGTTGTTTTGTGCTATTTTCTTTGTCGAAAACTCGGATATTCTGTAATAACAAAGGTTAATTCTCTTCAGCAAATTAGTGTTTGTTTTTGTTTTTTTTTAAAAAAAACATACTCAGCTATATTGATTTCTGAAGAAAGGCTTTTGGCTTCGTCGATTTTCCCTTGCTTCAGCGCCACATATAATTGTTGGGCGGTAATAGGGAGAAGTTCCGCCACCTTGTCTTCAGGTGTAAGATCATCGGATGATTTGCAAAGCTCTGAGGTTTAATCGGTTAGATATTGAACATGGTTGGAGCCAGGGCATATTGGGGAGATAGAGAGGCAAGCCTTTTGCTCGTTTCAGTAGTGCTCCTCCAGCTTCCAACTTCCCCCTCGCTATTGCACCGCATGCCACATTATAGGTCGTTTCGAATCCCTCTAGGTCTTCCCGGCTAGGTTTTGTATTCTGAACCAGGTTTCCCAATCCAGCCCACTGGAGTTGTGCCTCCGTTGCTCGGGAATTAATTCGCACATCAATTTTTTCACCCGCTAGGGCTGGGTCCTCAGCGGATAGCTCCTTGTAAATGTCTGCAGTTCGACGGAAGTGTTCTGCACGATATGTCTAGAGGTATATTCATAAGTGACCATCCCGCAGAACAACGCGATATCCCGAGTTCAGGAGGCCGACGAACGTACAGCTTGGGCCTCAACATGTTTTCCTCCTCTTCCAGTCTCAGCACTTGCAGCAATCTTTATAGCATCCTCCAGCTTCCCAATCTTGTACAAGCAATAAGACCACTCCAGCGGGACCCGATTCTTGAGCGCATCCCCGCCTTCCTCGACGACTCGAATTGCGTCTTCGAAGCGGTCCAATTTCACCAGGGCGACAGTTTTTACATGGAGGGCGTGGAGATCGTGCTTCGAATTTTTCAACACCGCATTGCAAGCCTTGATGACCTCTTCATGGTCGTCGATTGTGCTTCGTTGGAGCAGCGCACTGATGCTCTGCGTGGAGGTCGCCATTGGGCGTCTCTTCAGCCGTCGCAACGGCGCCTGAAGGGTTTAAAGGGGGAGTATAATAACGCAACAATGGCGAAATGAGCCTTGACATAGAGGAAGTTGGGGGCGATATTCAAACAACTATGTACACCGGGGACTTGTTGCTGTTGGTTAAATGGTATCAGCTCCGAAGTTGTGAGTTTTCTGCGGCGATGTTGAATGTAACTAGCACACAAGATCCCAAATTACTGGCCAAGCGGGGATGTCACATGATGCAAACTCTAAGCTTCGAGAAGCGATATTGGAGTGATCCATTGGATGTCCAACCTCATCATCACTCTTCAAAGTTCAACGGTTCAACCAAGGATCTGTCTGTCTATCCAGGAGTAAAATCTGCCGTCGAGTTAAGCAATATACAATACTTTCGACCTGGATTCCGAGGTTCCAGAAAAACCAATGCATGCACTTTCTAGAAGAACATTTTGTATCTTGCCCTGGCTGAAGCTTCATACCTCTTGAGCAAGCTCTCTGGCCTTACCCGTTTTCGTCGTGCGAGCATTTCTCCGGGGCCTCCTATATGCTTGCTTATCCCATTGACGATTAGCTCGTGCATGCGGTCCTCGCCAGCGAGCTGAGAGTTATTTTGATCGCGGAACTGATCGATTGTTAGAAGCGGGATGTGTTTTGGTTTTCTCGCCTAGGTTACCCCTATCCATCCAATTCCTCTTGACATCAGATCCAAGTTGCGCTGTGTGGGAAGCAATGTTCGAGAATCATATGTCGTCCATAGATTTCCCATCCAACCTAAAAACCTGATTAGAAAACAGCATTTTTAATCTAGAAGACCTCTTTGAAAAGTTATAAGAAATCAGCTTTCATATCATCAGCTTACGGCTATATTCAAAAGTGACCTACCTGTTAGCCTGCTTGGATAGCCGCTGTTGAGAAATAAAAGTCAAGGGGGAAATACAAAACCATCCAGCACCTGTCATACGCAACTGAAGATGAATTGTCATCTTTAAATACGCCTGAAATGCCCAGTTACTGCCAGTCACAGGCCTGAGGCCTGATACTAATTCAATTGTCTCAGCTGCTATGCACTGGAAGGAGTATCACTTCTCACACAAGATGACTGCATTGAAGATGATACATCAAGTTTGGGGACTTTTACCTTCAATTTGAAATACACTCATTTTTGCAAGTCAATGACAAAATGAGCACAAGTTATCTTTCTCCTCCCTGCACTTTTTATTTTTTGTTATTAAGATATCATCATCCATTGCACAATTGGACACACTCATATGCATACATACACACTTCAACACGCAACCCCCCAAGTCATACGTGCAGAATGCATGTAATGTTCATGAGCCAATATTGATAGTAACATCCTGCCAGTCATCCAACATGCTGCTCTCTGGGAAAACATCCTGCGCAAGGTTCAGGTATTCGTCAGCACAGTCTTCTTGCAAAACAACCGCGAGTGATCTGCCATTCACTCTTTGATAGGCTGTGATTCTCAGGGCTGCTTTACAGGTGTCATCCACTGATGTGAATTTTACACCCTTCGATGTGAAGAAGGCAATCAGTTCTTCGGGGTAAGCTGGGATTATGATGTAACTTCACGTTGGGTTAGAGCGGTTGAGCAATAAAGGGGAGAAAGGGTGATGTTTGGGATGAAGGATCCATGAGAATGCTAGTGTGTCAGTATAGCACGCAATGCATGTACTATACCTACATACCTTGGTGAAATCAAATTAACTCGAATAGAATCCCACCCAAGTATTCCTTCGAAGCGAGTGCATCAGTCCCCTCGCTCCGAACTTGGACATTGAATATGTCGCGGAGCCAGGCAGATCAAAGAACCCACCAAGACTGCCTATCAAGATCAGACGTCCTTCTCGGGCCGGCGCTAGTTGTCGTATGTAAAGTTCCTGTAAGGTTGATATCAAACATGGTGGTGTCTGGTTTGGTGGGTGGGAGGGAGAGTTCTGCAATTAAGGGCTTCTAATTCTCAAACCACTCTCATAATGTGCGGCAACATTTGATGGGGTCTAAACTCAAGGGTGAAAGCGAATTTGTCCTCACCATCGTCACCAAACAATCCATCGTGTTCAGCTTTCCCGGCATTTGCAATGACAATGCCGCAAGTCCTGCTCGGGGAATTCATGATAGCCATTTTCAAACAGGCGAACCTGCTCCTCCCAAACCCGTACATCGCATCGAACGAAACAACCTTTGCTGTGTGAAAATCGTTATTTCCCCGTGGCCTTTTAATCTTGGATTCAGCGAAAGGATAGGATCAAAGCAGCGTTCCCAGCCAGTTCCGCTGCAAGTGATGATCCAGATTCTCCATCCACGTCGCCAAATGTGAAATATGCACTATTTAGGGGCCCCTCCGAGTCTATGCTATGAATTGTTTGCTTTCCTTCCGTTCACGCGCCTGCCGATTGGAACTTCAGGGGCAGATGGTGAATGAACGCACCCGGCTTTGGTGAAGGCTTCTACAAATGATCTGCCTAAACCTGACGCACCTGTGAAACCAGTGCTATCAAAATGGCAATAACAAGGTTTTAATCTAAACAAATACCTCCGGCCATGATGACACTCTTGCCCTTGATATCCTTGATTACCGGTGGAATACTGTGATCAAGTATGCGGTCTTCGTACTTTCCCATCGGCATTCTGCTCGATTTACATATCAAAATGTTCTGACAAATATATTTGGTGATATAGCAAGTGTTGCTAGGTTAACCTTGGATATATATGATTCATATATTTATATACCAAATGGTGATTGAGAATGTTTGCTCTATTAGGTAATGAATATAAGAGCTCGTGAAGGAATACTCTCAATACATCCTGTTAACAGTGACTGCTTTGTTTTTCCCCGCCCTACGCTGCTGGAGGTTGGACCGGACACAGTCTCTGGTTGAGACAGGGGTGACAACCTTGAAATCCTAAATTTCTCGTCCTGTGATTTCGTGTTAATCTCGCGAAACCAGCTACCTCGTATTTACGCGTTATTGCAGCTGGTGTATCTCGTTGTCATGCCTCCAAGATGAATGATCTCATAGACTGGAAGTGCAAAAGTGTCTCCAGTGGTAGGTATATAATGTTACCATCAGTGTTCAGCAGTCATCTCTAAGACCAACAACATGGACGATTTATGAATTTGTATGAGCCTGAAGAACAGACAGTTCTGCCATCTAGATTTCAAATTTAACTGTTTCCCAGGCTTCAGACCGGATCTGGAGCTTTAAATTTCAAATTTCTCCCTGCAAAGATTATAGCCAATTACTACACATGAGATCATGTTTAGCCGGATGAAAAAAGTTAAGAATCCCTTTTCGCTGCCTCTGCTATTGGTATGATTTTTATTGATATCACTTCAACTGTCTTTTCTGATCATTCTCGTCTCGTCACGGTGCCCGAAGCTTTAACTATCGGTTAGGGGTTGATGATTAAACTGTTAGGCCAAAGAGACCATAAGAGCTCCTGACTGACTTATACAGGTCCCTGGGGCCCCAGGGCTTCCCATCTTGCTGCGCATCTTTATTATTTTTATTACCTTTACACCTCTATTTTTCATGCTATTCATTATATCTGATCTTATACAGCAATAAGATGTATGTAGTTGTATTACTAAAATCTCCTAATATCATTGACGTGTACAATCGACGTGACTGTGCTTATTAGTTGCATTGAACAGACGAGAAGACAGATTTTCAAGATAATAGATTATTAACGACTGGACTCTCTTTATCAGCATTTACTCTCTATCCTCTTGAAGCTAGGTTGGTCCTTAATTCTCCAAGTAGTTTTCCGTGCTCCTCCTGTTGATATCCACCTTATCCTGCAGCACGGCCTGGCCAAGTGTTACGGCGTGAATGCCATCATCACGCTTGTCGATCTTCTCGAGTTTCTCTCCCAGCTCCTGATCGAGTGGGCGGTGAGGAGGAAGCCAGCCTTGCCACAGTATATCCACAAGAGAATCCATATATTTGGCATGTGCGACATCATCGCCTGTGAGGAATGACTCAGAAAAGTCATGTTGAACGACATGGCCATCATCTGCCACCAGGAAAACTGATATTATCATGTCTCTACGAGCGATATCGAGTTTATGAAGTCTTGGTAAGACTATTCAACAGGGCTCCAAGCTACCGATCGTGGCGCGACGACCCGGGATTCTCTCGACAGCATAACCGATCACACTATCACCGTTCTCGGTGATATGGGCTAGGAACGCAGGTCCGATATTGTGTCCCTCTATAAGGGAGTAGATCTCCGTATCCTTTGAGACACTGTAGATATCTTCGGGCGACCACCCCAGCAAGCGATGATCCCATTTGGGTGAAGCAGACTGGTTCGATGTGCCGTGGAGTACAGATGATTCTGAAACTGAATCTCTTCATTCCCAGCAACTGCCTCACCCAGAGATGCATACTCAAGACGGACAGAGTGCCAGGCCGTCTCGATACTCGAGAGAGTCCGTCGTTCGACTGAGTCAAGAACAAGCTTATCATTACCTCCAGCTTCAACAAGCCTGCTAATATTCCAATGACCGGTGGAGACGGTATCAAGAGCCAGTCTTACCTTGAAAATCAAGAGAGGTCGGAGCCTGACAGGCGCGAGACACTTGACTGCTCCCCTGAGGCGTATGGATCTGGTAGTAGCCAAAATCCTGGTCACGCCCACAGGAGACCATATTCAAAATATCAAAGGTTCTATTCTCGGCTGAGATAGCCTCCATGTTTCGCAGTATAGAATCTTCTCTGCCGGGGAGACAGATAGGCAAGAAGATTATTCAAATAAGTAGATAAGAAACAAAAAGATAAAAGAGAAGTAAACCAATAAGTTCACTTGATTCCTTTTTTAGTCTTCAAATGACAGAGAACTGTTTGTACACTCAGCAGAGGGAGATTGCACCTGATAGAAGAAGAGGTCGATTGATTCGATATCAGAGTAGAGCAGAGTTGATTCATATAACCTTAAATTTTCCTCTTCAAGGAGTCCTTGTCTGCAATCTAGTAGTAACTATTTATTATACAGCAAGAAGGGGGAAGAACTTAAAGGCGGTTGGTTGGGGCTTTGGGCATTGCAAACCTCGGCAGGTTTAGCTATATATCAGGTTAGCGGTGCCTATAGTAGTAGCCTTGCCCTTTCTATAGTATGTTGATTTTTGGTCCAGTGGTTAATAGGGGTCTTTAGACGCCCGTTGGCCCTAATCCACTAGGAGTAGTATTACTCATGCCGCTGCTTAACGTAATCCACCTCATCCCGAATTTAACAAATTTTCAATTAAGCAACAACCACTAGGAATCATATAAAGTAATTAAATGGAATAGGCTCTTGGGCTTGTGAGCACGCTCTAATATTATGTCCGGGGGTATTACATTTGCTGCAGGTTGGGGGGTCTTCACTTTCTGGTCCGTGGATTTGAATCCTCAACCTCTTCCTCAGCGGGCTCATTAGGCTCCTGAGCCTGAGCAATCCTAGCCTGTCCTTCTCGAGCTGTTAGAATTCATTCCTCAGCTATATACGTACATGGGGCTTCTCTCTCTTTCACTTCTGCCTGGTGTTGTTGGCAGCTCTAAGCTCTGTGAACTCTTTTGCTAGTATAGTGACATTGTGCATAGCCAGATGTCTTTCCTTAACCAACTGATCAAGAATCTGATTCATGAGACTTGAAAGAACATCTGTGCAGCTTGTAATCTTGCAGCTTTGCCGTTCCAATTGAGACATATGGCAGGGAATTTTAGGGGTTCCGGAGGGATTGAGATTCATGAAATTCATAAGCTGATCCTGGGGGAGTAGGAAGAAGAAATTTAGTAGGTAACTCAACGTTAGTTGAGTAAGAATCTCATCTGAATTGATTGAGATCAAATTTGTGACTTTGAGTCTATATCTTATAGTAATATCCTTCATAGTCTCCTGTTTGGCTGCTGCTTAGCTGATTAGAAATTCCTCTTTGTCAATATGATTGATTCTCAATCTTATGCTCTACTTCAGCTTCTTGCCATACTCTTTTTAATGATGAAAAACAGCTCGCATCCAGTAACTGCAGTAGATGAGAGAAGTGAGGAGGTATATATAATGCTATAATCTTTTGATTCTGACAGATTTTGTCAAATTCAACTGTTAGCATAACTATCATATTCATTTATAATTAGCAGTCTATATTTCTCAATTGTATGAGTCTGAGTATGCTTGTTAAATACCTTCTGCAGTCATACTAAGTCAAGATCTGTAGTTCAGTTCCTTTTTACTAAGATCAATTGTTCAAATTTGCTGACAATTGCTTGTATCATGAGAATTGATAAAGCTTGCTCTTCAGTATAATCATAGAAAACAGAGTTCAGCTTATAGCACTGACTGCTCGATCACTGTTACTTATTCTCTATTTTCTGACTGTATTAGAGATGCCCTGCTCTCTGTATTAGTGATTACTCAAGCTGTTGAGATAACTCTTTGAAAAGGGTCAATCTCATCAAAGTTGTATATATTCTTCAGCACAATCTCATTCACGTTGCATTATCGTACCTTACGCCGCATAGATCGGTTCGGAGTTGGAAAGATACATTGGACATCGAACTTGCAGATTCACAGGTGCCTGATGCTTCCAATGCCCCTCCTCAATCCTCAAGAGTCTACTTCGTCACCCTGAAGGAGCAGGGTAGTAGCAACATTGTAATGTACGCATCAATAGTTACGGAGATAGGGGAGGAAATCTGTCAACACGAATCCACCGGGGGAGAGGGGGGGAAGACAGGGAAACTAGTTACCACCCAACAACGGGAGATCTTCGAACACAACCGTCGACCTCTTCCTTTCCGTTTTGGTTTCCACCAGTCTCTGATTATGAGGGATTTCGTCCGGCGTCAGTTTATCGATGCTAACTAGGTCCTTGGAACTAATAATATTACATGGTGACCTCATAGATTTTGCAGTGAGTAATACCCACAGCTAAGCCTCACAACACATTATCCAATCGAAGCAGATCTGCAGTCAGGACCCTGTTCCGACCTTAAAGGGCGCGAAATTGCACGTGGAATTATTGTTTTTTAATCGGTGGGGATACTTGGGTTTCGGAGCTAATGGATGGCTTCCGCTGATATCGGCAGTTTTCATGACAGGTTCTTTGGCAGCTAGCAGCAACATTGCCTGTCAATAATTGAAACCTCCCCCTGTGAGTATCGTCAGAAAATCGAGAATTCGACGCACATCTCCTTGGATGGTGTTCACAAGTTTGGCGCCGCTTTTTAGCATGGTATCTATCTCATAGGCTTTCGACAAATATCTCCCTAGTTGTGTGGTGTTTTCCTTGGAGATAATATGTTGATGTAGACTAAGCTCAGCAATATTTTCTTGACATCCAAGGTCATGAACCTTGCCGATATGTACCGCTGGGATGACGCTGGGGCTATTACCATATCCAAGGCAGTGCCACCAGAATGCATTCACTAGCTTCAATGCCTGGTTGGTTGGTTGGTTGGATTTTTTTTTTTTTTTTTTTTTTTTTTTTAAGCGAAAGAGACGAGAAAACGGGAAGCATCCTGGAATGATTATGACGGGACAACGGGTGAGTAAAGGAGGTGTATATACAAATTTCTCGTGACTTCCATGAACAAATTACGCTGTCCAGGTTCCTGTTTCAAGTTTTGAAACTTTCGTTTCTATTTCCGCTGGGGTTGGGGTGGGCCAGGATTTTCCCGCTTCCACCTCAGGAGCCAAGCAATAATCGAGACATGGGAAACCCTGCCTTGTTGCTTTACTCTCCGGTGGTTGAAAAGCGGTTGGTGACAAATCCCCGACGAGGGCAGACTCAACGTCTGAGGGAGGTCGAAGAACTCAGACGCTGAACGTACGAGCAACTGTTTCGGACACGCTTCGTTCCGGCGTCCCATGTTTCTGAGCTTAATTCCGGCACCATTGATTGCTATTGGACAATGTGGTTATTTGCCGGTTTGTCGTGCCGAGTTCCACTGGAGGTTGACAAGTTAAGCTTTCTGGTCAAAGATATATATCTTGAGTGGGGAAATCATGAACTTTAACTACGTCTGATGCACACAATATTGCTTCGGGAAACCCACCAAATATACTTTGAACCTTTCAAACTCATATTCGATATCTCGCCTTCTCGCCGATGCAGGTCATTCCTGTGTTCAAAATCAGTGCCTTCAGGCGGTAGCTGCGCATTAAAAAGACTAAAGTGAGGACTTATCAGCAACAAGCTTCAGGGAAGCGATGATATGTATCCGTATTTCCCCTCCGAAATACTACACATACATTTTATGTCCACATTTCCCTAAGCTTCACCTCCCCCCCCCCTGGAAGGATCTATAACAGGGTCAATCTCATCAAAATGGGATATTCAACTCCGCTGTTGATAGCCCCAATGAGTCATATTCTCAAAAAAACACCCTCTTTCGGAAAGGGACGGGTGAAATTGTTTGGAAATCTCAACAATAAAATAAACTACTTTGGATTAAGGTTGCTCTTCAGATAGGAATAGTGGAAACTTTTGCCCCGCCGCCGGAAAGCTTTTGGCTTGAATCTTCCTGGGCTGTTCTACCCGACCTTCCGAGATTCTACCTACACAGGGACTATGGCAGTTGCGATTGATCTTTTCCACCCATAGGTAGATTCGTAGAGCAAAATAGCGACCAGGACCCTTGAAGAATTAGCCTCAGCAGGGTGACTGCAGATTGGACAATCTGCCTGACAGCTTCATGACAGCTAACAGTGGAGCACGACCCTGGCCAAGTAGGAATAGCCACCTGGCATGCCCAGCGGGCCTGAGCGAGGAGTTTTGAGTTGGGGCCCAACCATCCAGAAGTTGAGAAGTTTGGATCTGCACCAGTAGTTAAGTGGCAACCTTCTAATCTCATCATGAGATAGAGCATGCTAGGGCCTTCTACTGATGTCCTAGAGGAGAAAGTCATGAAGTTTGCTCTGAAGGCCTGAACATCCCTGGGTAAGGATGGCTGGTGCCAATGCTGAGTGCAACGTCGGAGATTGGGGCTGTTTTGTGGTTGTGCTGAAAGTCAAGAGGAGGCTGCTGCTAAACCAGCGAAATACAGTACATAGACAGGCTTGCGGCTTCAGCCGAATCCTAAGCATATTCTAACGTTGAAGAACAACGAATCTAACAGTTGCTGACAAAGCTTCGAGGACGATCATCTTTACGGGTCGTATCTGTGAGTGATCGTGGGCATACTTCGTCCGAGTCTGAGCTGTGTATGTCAAGTATTTTACCGGCTGGCTGAGTGAATCTGGTGGCGTCTCTTAGGCGGTGATTATGCAAACGACCCGTCCGCTTTATTCATTCATTCATGCTCGAAGAAGGTTTCTCAATCATCCGCTATTCCTAGATCGGCGTGGTCGAACACGAGTGATCGTCTTCGTGTCTCTCTGACTTACCCAAAGCCGGAATCCCTGTTGAATATGCCGCCTCTATTAATGGGTGGATCTTAACTTTATCATTCCAAGTCCGTTGCGGATCAACGGCGATAATCTCAGGCGGATAACGATTCCTGTGAGGAATAAATAAAATGTACTATTTCAAGCATTGTCTCTCATGACCCAAGCAACAGGGGTTAAAGGAATATCTAATAATCACCGAATGAGGGTTCCTCTTCCTCCTTGGCTGCGCCCTCAAGTCTGAGAACTGAATAGGATGCGACATATTTTCAGGAACAACAGTGATTGGTTGCTTTATGTTTATATATATATATTTAAACTATGCTGTTAAATTTTCATGATTCAACCTTCGCCAGAGAACAAGGCTGGTCGCTCCAGACCTAATTCTCACTGACGCAGGCAGAAATACCTGGATCATTCCACCTCTCATTTCCAACTTATTGGACATTCATGCATCAAGACTGTTGCTTGAAAGCTGGCAGTCTGGAAGCAACAATACTCTGTTCAGGTTTCAAACCTCTATGGATTCATAAGAAAGTTTCGGGAGCCAGGAACCAATGATAGTAATAAACCGAACAATCTGGCTTGTCTGGGATCTTCATTTTACTTTTCCATGGCATTGTCAACTTTTAACTTTCCCCTCCCCGTTTTTGAAACATGGAATTCCCGAGGAACCAAGGTCTCGAGCCGGAAACACATAACGACCGAAAGGCAAGAAAATAACCTACAAGCGTTTAATAATGGAGGGAAGCTAAGATACGAAGTATTTGTCTCTCGATACGTTCCTGACCTAAGAATAGAAATGGATTCCTCCGGTTCCCATAAATAAAGATGTTGGGTCAAGTTTTGAAACTTGCATGTCATCAATGTTTACCTGCTTCTGTGTCCGAGCCTCTAATGAGGCCGTCATAATTTGGAGGACATGGGATCTGGACAGTGGACTAGTGACTTGTGTGTCAGCCACCATCGATAAGCTACAGCACTCTGGACAGATCGTTGGATTGCCAAGGTGCATAGCATACTAGCATGACCCAAGTCATTCCTAGTGGGGAAGATACAACAAGGTGTGGGGTTTTTGAACTGTCCTATATTTATTCCGCTCTCCTGACATTCCATCATGTGAAGTTAAAACAGAACGGATCCTGCAACCCACCATCAGAAAAAAGACCTCCGCAGTAGAGCCTGGCAATAATAATGGGGGTCGGCTGATTGTCATCATGAGTGATGGGGCAGAGTGGAGCGTTTGAAGTTCATAGACTGGCGAAGGAAATGAAATGGGGAGTTAGGGAGACGTTCAGGGGCCGAGTTTTACCAGGAGCGGATATATGGATATATGATGAGTTCCCGGTGATCAAATTCGGGGGAGCTGACATATACATTGAAAAATAGAAAACATCAATAATACGGGCAGCAGCCGTATGCATGAGACCGCTTCTCAGGCTCTCCTTTTCTTCCTTTCGATCTTTTGGCTCTCTCGCCTTCTCAGCTTCTTGCGAAAATTTAGTACATACCTCTCACCGTTCCATGGAACCGAGGGCCAAAAGGCCTCCGGCGGAAATGATAGAATTAAGTGGGAACATATGAGCAACAATGTCCCCGGTGCATGATTTCTCCAAGTATTTGCGGATGTTCGCACAGTAGCTGTCACTGGTTCATGGTCATGAGATGGGCGGAGCGATGCTCCTTAATTTTTTAAGACCCTTTTTTGAGTGAAAATCGTCGTGGCGCTTGGCTTCGTCCTGCTAGCTAGCGCCTGGGGTTGGATTATGTGGTTGAGTCAAACTTCCAGTAACCAGTTAGAGTAAGACCTGCGTTTAGCTCACAGATCATCTAGAGCTGGTGATTGGTCCCTGGGATTTGCCCTTTTTTGTCTTCCTCCAGATGGTCGAGCTCACTAGAAACCAACGTTGGGTACCGAAGGGACCCAGGACGTTCGAATGTCTGTGCTGATTTTGAAACTCCCACGAGGGGGGGAAAAATGGCTGCGGCGGATATTTTGCTTTGTAGATTGACTGAGAACAGCTTGCATGGGAGAATCGTCTTCCGTAGAAAGTTGGCATAGGATGTATTACTCAAATCTGGAGTCGGCCATATGGGACACTTGCATAAACCAGCGGCAGAACCAAATCCTATCCTGTTTGTTTTTTGAAAGAAGAGCACAAAAAACTGGGCGAGTCATATTTGCCCAATTTCAAATATTTTCCAACGACGGGCTGGAAACAAGTATCAAAATACATATTTTGACTCCTAAGATGGGATGGCGTCAACGTCAATACAACCACAGAGCAGAGGAATATTAGTTTTCGTAAAAATGAAATCGTATATGTGCAGTGAACTCTGTACTCAAAACACCCATACCCGTACTATACTATGGATATGGGAATAACAAAAAGGAATTGGCGTCAAAAAATAAACATCGACGTGCCGCAAACATCAATATTCAATGTATAGATTCTCCCCTACCCAAAAAAGTCATGATAAAGTAGAAAGTGGATTCGTGTGTATGCCGACGCCTTTCTTTTTAAGATATGCTGTAACGCTCATGAGCTTTCACACCTTCGCCCGGTTTTCGTCAGTTAAAAATCCAGCCTGCATCACCGAGAACTAACAGAAATGGGTTCGAAAGGAGAAAAAAGCTAGATAACCAGGAGTCGTAAAAGATATTTAGATCGCTCATTGCATCATAAAACGAAACTAGAGACGCCGAAAAGGTAAAAAGGATGAAAGAAAAGCTGTTCATTAAAAAAAAAAAAAAAAAAAAAAAACCGTGTGCTGCGACGAAGCGATATTAATGATGCGATGACACACTCGATTGCGAAGATGTCTGTTCATTGTCGCTTAGCGGGGACTGTCGATGCCCGTTTCTATCCGGTTCGGACGCCCGCACTTGGTTTCGGAGTGCCGGTAGTTGGCGACGTCTAGCATTGATGAACCAATTACTGATCTGTAAAAAACTTGCATTAGAAAAAGATTCATACAAAAGGTGTTTGGGGGGGGGGGGGGGGGGGATAAAAGTGTATAGTCAAATCTCACCTGGCTGATAGTTAAACCAGTTCTGCTAATAAACATTTGCTTGTCCTCTTCGCTAGGATAAGGATGATCCAGATGTTCATGGAACCAAGCTCGAAGAACATCAGTGACGGACTTTGGTAGATTGCCCCTCCTCTTTTTATTTTTTGGGTCAATCGGCTCTCCTTGCGCTCCATAACTCCTATCATGAAGGCTACCAGCTGAAACTGGAGAGTAATCAAGCTCAGGCCGAAAGGATTGCTGATAAGGTCCATATCGCGAACTTTCATAGGGTTGACTGATCCTCGCAGGCTCTGAATGTGAGAGAGTATTCGTGGGAATGACGAGAAATGGGCGAGATGCTGGAAGATAAGTGCCTGGAGGTTTCGAGCCGAAGGAATGTGTATGTTGGTTGGAATTGCTGTGATATTCCGGTGATAAAGCGGGTGGTTTGGTGTCAACATTTACTCTGCTGAAAGGACCAACATTTGCAGGAAGCGGTTGCAGGTTCCTTATGGGAGGAAGTGCTCCGCCAGAGTTGAAGTGAGAAGTCGGATTTGTTGCTGAGAGGATTTCAGTGTCAGAGGCCTGTCTCTTAAGAGGGGCCACGCCTCCCTGGGATTGATCTTTTGAAAACCTATCCGTTCGGAGAAGGTATCCATCATAACTGTCGATTTTGGTTGTCGACAGGGAGCGTGAAAGATTGGCTCCCCGAGTCGATCTAGGATGAAAAGCAGATGAAACATAAGAGGTTCCTGGCAGATGGTAGCTCGTTGGAGAGTAAAATGGCGTTGAATCTATTTCTTCATGGAGATGTTGTGGCAAAAGCTATGGAAGATAGTTAATTAGTATTGGGATATGATAATAGTATCATTGTGCTGGATATCTATCTACGTACATCTCTGAACGGTGGGAGAGTTTGCGTTTGCCCGCCGCTCCTGAACTCACTCAAATATGACACCGGCATATTTTTCGACTCCTCTTCTGTTTTCACTTTGCGGGACATGCGGATTCTCAACAGTTGATCACTCAGCTTGTCTTTCGGCTTTTAAAGTCAACGGAGACAGTGTCGGACAAAAAATGAATTACGTCGATGATGGTTAGCGTTGCTGGCCAGTCGGACGTTAGACAGCAAGTTGGAAAGCGGCAGCCATTCGGAGTTATGAATCATGCGGACAATATTTGAACGGCAGTGTACTGGTTCAAAACCGGGAATGTTCTGGTAGGGTTGGTCTAGATCGAAAGCGAGATCAAAAGAGACCAGGCATCGGGGGATTGGCAGCTATTTTGTCAACAGCACGGGAGGGGGCTTCTGACACTCGATCGTTTCCTTGGAAGTTTGTGGAGTAATCAGGGTGGGCTATGGGTACCGTTCCCCCCCCCCCCCCCCCCCCCCCCCCTTTCCCCTGTGGAGGACCCAGATTCAGCACTATTGCTGAGATTCGAGAAAAATGGGCCCGGGATTTGATTATCATTCGACAGAAATTAAGGCAACACTACCGAACCGAGTACTGTGCCTGTCAAAATGGGAAATCCCTCTACGACATCTGATCAAGCAGTGACCCCATGAATGAATGATCCGAGAGCCAGCCGTAAAACGACGATCATGCTGGGAACCACCGAACTAGTCGCCAGAAACTACTCCAAGGTCCGTCCTAAGTCGAGAGGGGTAAATGACACGAATCTGGTACAGTAAGGGTCAGATTATTCTTAAGGTTGAGTTGACAGTCGATGGGTCAGGGATTTGACGCTGGGTTGCAGAATGATGTGCAAGGTAGCGCTTCCAGTTGAGACCCAGATAATCCCAAAATACAGAGAGCACGCGCTAGTTCATGAAGCCACAACGGGAGGATTCGTGCCCCCAAGTGGGTCAATGTAAATGGCATATTTGAGAGAGTTTGGGTCGGATTATTCTGGTGAAAACGTTCCTTGGCAGCGCTGCCCTTCGTACCCGGCGGACACCGAGATAGCGTGGGAATATCCCTCGTGGATCGTTCCTCGGGGCTGCTTGAGTCAGGTTCGGGATTGCAAACAGTAAAGTAAACCAGTCTGCATATTCTATTTCACATTACTCCGTATCAGAGCCGCAATTCAGAGGCGTGAACTCATTCCTAGTTTTCATGTTCGAATATCTTACCTTGATTCTCCGGAGCCGAGTTTTTTGCAGTCTCGAAACGTCGTCTAACTAGTTAAGTGTTACGCAATAGCGTGAGCCCTAGACCGTGGAAAAGTTGTGTGGGGTGTAAGAGCGCTGAGGGGCTGCATCCAGACGTGCTCATCCTATGAGGAGCCCGCAAATCATTGACGTGCATGATAGGCTGGACAAACGAAAACAACCCGCCCATCAGGGAATGTTCTCCGAGTTACACTTGAGACGTTCAAGGCGTGCCTGAACCAGTACGAAGTGACCCTTAGACTTTAGGTGAAGCCCCCGTCATCAGTAGTCCTGGGATGCGAGATCCAGATCCCTCAATTCCCTGCAGTTAGTTTAGACGCGAATATTTGGTATGAACTTAGTTTTGAACTCAAAACTGCTGTATATTGTTCTGAAGGGGGGGGAGAAAAAATGTAAATAAAAATGTAAATGTAAATAAAAATAAATATAAAAATAAAATAAAAAAATAAAATAAAAAATACAAACAATAAAAAGAAAAAAGAAGACGAAGAAGAAGAGAAAACAAAGGGAACTAGTTAGAAAAAGCAAAAGAAAGGTTCGAACCTCCATCTCCTGATTTAGAACAGGCTTTTGTTCCAGCTCGGCAAAGATGCAAAACTGATAGAACTAAGTAAAGAGGATCCGAGCAGCGAGCTTTCGCGACTAGGGTTTTGAGAGCTGTCTAGACCCACACGCTGCACCGCATGTCGTCCACGATCTTGGGACCAAATTAGATAGATGATTTATCATGAGGGAATGGACCTGATTAAACCTGCACTCTAATCCGACCGTAAGTAAGAAGGCGATTTGGATCTTCCACCATCCCTCTCGCATGGCATAAGATGAGCCGGACTGGAACCGGTTTTGTGGCATGCTTTTCCACACAGAAACGGACCCACCGTGAGCGATTAATAAGTCCTTTCCGCAGCATCCAGCATCTAGCTATCAGACGAGCCCCACGATCTGCCACTGCCACCAAATGCCAACGAGATCACCATTCCACTTGGCCTTTTCCCATTCTAGCCAATGAAAATACTCGGTTTGCCTTAAGCAGCGCCTTTAAGCTGGTGTCCTATCAATAAATAACATCGAGATGGCTCAGGCTTTAAAGGCCGGGTGCGATGACGTCTTTGATAGATAATGTAACCAACAAAGTGAAAAACTATTAGTTACTCGAAACTGCCTCGACTTTATTCTGGCTCTCCGAGGTTGTTCGGAATGGCTGGTTCTGCCAGTTTATCCATCCCTCAAAGTTGGAATGGCTAATTAATCAAGGTTTCTCTGGCGTTTAGATAGACAGGGTCACGAAAAATCTTCTTCCCCTTCGCCGCCCCCCCCCCCCCCGAGGTATATTCATGGAGAGCTCCAGGGATATTAAAAAGGAACGCAAAAAAAAAAACGGATAGAAACTTTCTAATTCTTTTTTTTTTTTTTTTTTTTTTTTTTTTTTTTTTGGAAAAAAAACCCTGAAACAGGAGCATAATCCAAGGGCGGTGGACGTAAAAAAATCCCCCTAACAGGGTCGTTGAGCGGGCATCAAGCACTGACATGACAATC